ACCCTACCCTATTCTATGTATCCCACACATGTAGAGTTATGAAAATATATCTCTAAAACTAATGACATTGCTAGATAAGTTACAGGGTTACCAGGTTCAGAGTGTGGACATCACAAAAAAAACTCTGAACAAACGCGTGTTAACTAGCAGTAAAATAAAGGAAACTACATGGTAAAATATATATCTTCGAACAAAACACATCATATAATAAGGATTGAACTTCACTTGGTAAGTTCCTTTAATCTCTTATTATACATAGTATTAATTGGAAGAGGACGTAAGAAGGCTCGATATTGTAAATTGTTGTTAACATATAATATATAAATAAAGAAAATTATACTTTTTGCACAGTTGCACCTTATCCTCCATTTTAACTTTTACTTTCGCACTCCATTGTAATTGCAACCGATCGTGTTAGGTTTTTCACACATTATGCATCATGGAAAGTAAAGACTGTGGAGAAACCTGAGACCTGGATAATAAAATGTTTTACGAAGACACGAAGTTTGCCTTGACCCTTACAGTTCTCTGTTCTCTCTGCTTTGCAATGGAATTTTGATAAGACGTTACTACGTTTTTGTAATGTAATGCGTTAATAGTTTTCGAAGTGTATTGCACTTGTCTCTCTGACAACCAGATATTTTTCTCGTGGCACTGACTCCATATTCAAGATACAAACAAACATTTGATAATCAATTGTTTATTTTGGGCATATTGGATACAACAAATTAGGATCGAAAAGAGATCTAGCACCTGCATATTACTAAATAAGAATTTTACATGGGAAATTTTTGAATCTAGGTATATTGGAGCGACTAAGTTGTGCGTGCCGGACGACGGACGGTGGCTGCGTCTGTTCATGCTGCTCCACGCCAGAATTAACCTACTGTCCAAAACACCCTTAAGTAGTGTTGCCCAAATGCAAGAACAAGACGAGACTTAGCAAGTCTTGGTCTTGGTCTTGCGCCAATACAACTGGTCTTGGTCTTGGTATTGCGCTCCAAGTCTTGGTCTTGGTCTTGGTCTTGCAGCAAGAGTCTCGCAAGTCTCGCAATGACCTATTAGCCTATTACTATTTATTAAACTACTTTAGATCTTAGAACAACTTAACAGAGTAGGTACATATTGAGCTTGAATTAACATAGCCATAGTAAAGACCAACCATATTAATAAATGTCTAAACATTTAATGAGAAATTTGAAAAATCAACTGACACCGGGTGGGGTTTGAACCCACGATCTAAGCGGTCCGTGCCGATGCTCTAACCAACTGAGCTATCTACCGTGTCCCACGGCCATGGGCGTCAGTTTCTTAATAAACGTTTACATTTAATAAGCTTACATGTGCTAAAACATTAAACATATATATAAAAACAAATTAATGGCAATAACTACACTGTTTTAAATAAAATTATCTCTCTAGAAAGAGACTGATGGACCCTCACCATATATGAAATGGAATAAAAGAGTTATACAATATACCATTTATTTAAATAAAAAATAAAATACGATGCAAATTAAATTACTTTACAGTATGTACACAACAGCTTTGACATTACTGTTATGTACTTTATATTTATTCTTTTGACAAAGCATTAATACAAAGTAACCATCTGGCTGACTCATCACTTAACCTATTTCTATGTTTTCTAATTACTAATGATGCTTTTAGAAAATAATCTCTCAGCAGGTACTGAAGTTGCAGGTATTAAAAGAAAATCACGGGCCATCTTCGATGAAATCGGATATTTTGTCTCATGCGTCCTCCAACAGTCTAAAATGTCTTCCGAGATGACGGCTCTGGGTTTACCTAGGTACCCCTCCAACTCCTTAATAACTAAGCCTTGAAGACAAGATCCAGATCCATTTTTACACATTTCAAGTGTTTTAAAAGTGCTATGGTGTAACCATATTTATCAAATGTGTGACGACTTTTGCAGTAAACTTACTGAACATGTTTATCTTTTAGGTAATAATAATAACAATAATAGTAAGTAATTATCATAAATCCATATAGTTAATTTTATAATAATTACTTATTAGAATAAATTATTATGATACCTACCTATTATCTAATTACAATATTTCTTGCGAGATCAGGATAATGTATTCGTGTCCATTCTGATCACCCGGAAACTTATTTTATTCTTTGAAACATGTACTCTGTGGCGGCAATCAAACAGTGTCAAATGTAGTGCGTGTGGCGCGGCGGCGACGATTATGCGATATCAATAGTAGCCGCCGGCACGTGTATCTTGACCTTGTACTTTCGAATAGCTGCACAATTTCTTTGACAGGTCAGTATCCGACCTTTGATGACGCCGACGACAAGACGCCGCGCACTATCAAAGTGCCGATGGTCAAAACTAGGAATACACTTTTTTTTCTTTTAGTGGATATTTTCATTCGCTATGTATATTTATGGTATTGTTCGTAATGCGCATAAGTCCAATTTTCCAATTTTTTTTCATTATATTTTTTGTGTCTCATAGAGTCCCTAAGCGTATACCCGAACTCCTATACTCCCTGAAACGACACTTAGTCCTAACTGCAAGACGCAAGAGTCTCGCAACCTAAGTCTTGTTCTTGCGCAAATCTTGCACGGTCAGTCTTGGTCTTGGTCTTGCTAAAAAGAGGCGGTCTTGTTCTTGGTCTTGGTCTTGCAAAAATGCAAGAACAAGACCAAGACTGCAAGACCAAGACCGATTTTGGGCAACACTACCCTTAAGTTAACACGTACTTTGCATATTACACTGAATTCGGTTGCCGAGAAAATTGATTTATTCTCTTGTTCAAGGAATGAATTCCAAAAATCCACTCTGTTTATAATATGCTATAATAATTAAGTACTACAATATCCAATTAGGTTAGCCTGTAGTGATAGTTGTATTGTGAGATAAATGAAATAAAATCAATCCGTTTTTCGGTATAAGATTTAAGATGAAAACAAATTAGATCATAAAAGCAAAGGTACGAAACGTAATTAAGATGCGTGCCCGCTCTTGATCTTAGCCTTGTCAACGGTGACGCAAGGAATATAATTTGCAGTTATTCCAAAAGTTCTATTTCCGTGATACGTCTCAACCACCCACCACACGAGCAAAAGTACGCGCGTCGAGACGTGTGAGAGAACGCCGCTGGAGTCAAACTTATAAAGAAATTCAGTAATAAATTATATTATCTTATCTTGTGAAAAAACACTACAATGACAGTGTAAAATGAAGCGAAACGTGAGTACTATTGTGTCATGTTAGACACCCAAATTACTTAAATCAGTGCTACCACCATAGCTGTTTTTGTTTGTACGTTAATAAATTTTTACGTTGCATTGCTGTGAGCAATACCAACACTATAGTGGTGTTTATTCTTTAAAAGTTTTTATTTTGTACCGAATTATGTGAGAATTGTACGTTAATTGCTCAATAAGTAGGTGTATTTCGTGTGGTATTTGGTACAGTCGCTTTGCCACCTACGTGATGTGTCGGCGCGCCCCAGTTAGCTTGTTTATAGTTCAGCGATTAACCCTGAAGTATTTCCAGAGGTTTGCTACCGAACGAGGCTACTTTACTTTCATTTAAGTGTCACAATAAACGACAGTTCCATTAAGATTCACACATTATTACAATGAGGGTTGATAATTTACCGCTCACTAGATATCGCTAGTTGGGACTGAGGTGAAGTTTTTGTCACGCAGTGTCATCATAAGTGAAAACTTACGTTTTAAATAAAAGTTTTTCGCTTTTCAATGTATATAATATATGTATATACCTTTATACATAAAACAATGCCTCAGTGTTTGCTCTTTAATTTTTTGCACATTTTAAATTTTCTTTTTAATTCGTTTACTTATTATGAATATCTGTAGTTTGGTATATCCATTTAAATCTAATTAACATAGAATATAACTAATGTTTCAGGAAATTACAGATCTTTATAAATGATCTTTATGAATGAGGAAATTACAGATTTCTCTCCATGATATCTGTCATATATTTGACCTCATTCCAAAGTGGCGCCGCCCTGGTGACAGAAAAAAATGTGTCACCAGATCATTGCATTCGATTACGAACTAATAATATATGTATATCTTTCTAGAAGTATTGTGTGTTGAAAAATATGCAATGATGACTAATAATCTTAATTAAAAACATCTATTTCAAAATGTGACGTCAGAACACCCTTCTAATTATAACTCTTTTAAAATAATTTCAATCAATTGATTGCATTTTTCAAATGTAAATCAAAATTGCAACGTCAGTGTGATATTTGAAGTCTATCAAGGCTGACATTTACTGCTTTCGTTGTCTTAAGAATTAAAAAATAATACCCAGAAGTTGCAATGTTTACAAACTTGATAAGTTTCGCTCATAGTTCTATAATTGAATCTACGCGTTTCTAAATAATTCTTTATAATGAATCTAAAATGTAATCTTCAATCTTTTAAAATATTGTAGGTATATCTATTATTCTTAAAATATGCTCAGAGTTAATTCTTCTACAGTATATTATTTATCAATCTTGCTTTATTTTTCTCTTTCTAAATTAACTTGACTTTTTCAACATCGCCTATATTTACTGTGCCATTACTGACCATTGCGAGTTCCACAGTTATTGTTACCGCTCCTCGGGTCATTGCTCTTTTGTAGCACAAGAATAATTAATGCTTCGTCGATATCATCAGAAGTGCCCTTCGAGGTTCTCAATACGACTGTATTTTTTGTATGTATGTCACGCGATATTTTCGCCAATTGTGAATCGAACATTAAAACAGTATCAACAGTGAAAAAACCAAGGGATAGGTTTTTAATGTTGTCTACATTGTAGTTGTTAGTTACTTTGAGCTTGTGATATTCCTGAGTCCATTCAAAATGTGTGTGTAATATGTGGAAATTATTTTATTATTTTTAGTTCCTTGAAGTGTGTTTTTAATTTTTACGAGGGGCGGCTAATAAGTCCGCGGTCTAAGGTACTTCATAAAAGAAAATTTTTGGTTTCTATTTTTTATTTTTCAATATAATCTCCCTCAAGTGTAATACATTTTTCACATCTCGCATACAATACCTTTAACCCACCCAAAAAATATTCTGTATCTTTCTCTTCAAAATGACGATCAACCGCAGTTTTCATTTCATTGTGATCTGCAAATCTCCGGCTCCGTAAGTCCTTTTTCAAATTGGAAAACGGGAAAAAATCACTAGGTGCTAGGTCTGGGCTGTACAGAGGGTGGTCAATCTCTGAGAACCCTGTGTCTTTCAGGGCTTGCCTCGCAACATGTGCGGTATGAACGGGCGCGTTGTCTTGCAGAAAGAGCACTCCGCGCGTCAGTTTCCCACGTCGTTTCTGTACAATAGCTTCGCGAACCTGAATCAATAAATTGGCGTAATATTGGCCATTTATCGTAGTTCCCCTGGGTAGGTAGTCAATAAGCAAAATTCCTTCGATATCTCAGAAAACAGTCGCCATTAGCTTGGACGCCGACTTTTCCAGCTTGAATTTCTTCGGCGGCCGTTCCCCTTTTTTACCCATTGCAAGGGCTCTTGTTTGGACTCCGTATCATATTGTCGAATCCATTTTTCATCTACGGTGACTATCCGTTGCCAAACGTCTTCTTTGTTATCGCCGACTAGCTCCAAAACATCTTTGCAACTTGCGAGTCGAAGTTGTTTGTTGAGCGGTGTGAGCATTTTCGGTACCCAGCGCGCGCTATTTTTTCTCATATTCAAATGTTCATGTAAAATTTCTCCAACTCGTTCTTTGCTAATCTGCAGTTCTTCAGCAATCTGCCACAAATTAATTCATTAATCGGCTAGAACGATTTTACGACTTTTCGGACGTTTTCTTCGGTCAGTACCGTGACAGGGCGGCCCGGGCGAGGGTCGTCTTCACAGCTCTCTCGTCCTTGTGTGAAATATGCGAGCCTATTTTTTCACCATCGTATATGAAGGCGCAGAATCCTGAAGAACCGATGATATGTCTTCAAAAATGTTTTACGGTGTACTTCCTTTCTTTACGAGGAATTTTATCACGGTATACAAAATTCCGAGAATTTCCAGATTCGGCTGGCATTTGTTTTATAGTATAGGGGTGGCATGGTGATGTTTGTTGTTCAATAAATAATAGAATCAGTGCAGACTTAATTAGTGATTGATTTGTAATACTACAGATTGTTGAAACTAGTGACATGAGTAACAAGCTAATTACTCATAGTTAAGTACCCTAGGACGCGAACTTTTCAGCCGCCCTGGTATAAAAAGAATAACTCAGTGCAGTCGAGCAGAGCCTTTAGTAATTCTAAGTTATCCTTTCCGAGAATGATAGAATTAATGATAGAATATTCTGAACAAAACAACATAGACATCCTCGGCTCCAAACGTTTCGTTTTTCGTAAACAAATTTAATGGTTATCATACAATAGGTTCCTTTAAAAGTAAATAACCGTTGCATTGGATGAAAAGACGCCGGAAAACTAGATATTTTATTTTAAAAAAAGAGGTGAATGTTTGCTGTGTCTGTATCTGTCTGGTGGTGCAAGATAGAGATGAGAAAAATCATTGTCATTGCTGTCTATTTGCTCTACTGCTGAACGTAGAAAAATTATATTTTGACAAAATGAAAATCACAGCATAAGTACCAATCAGAAAAACAATTTGTTTAATATTTTATTGTGTTAACATTAATTTTATATTCAATATTAATTCTTCAAGTGTTCAAGTGTAATATCGAAAAATCTGCCTTTAATTGACCGCAGGGTGTTATTTACAAGGTCTGTTAAGCTGGAATGGTCATTTGAGCAAAATCACTTAAATTTTTGCTAAATATTTAGTGCTCATTTAGTGCTAATTTAGTGCTGCAAATTTAAATTTCACGCCAAAATAGCTTGATCAAAAATTATAAAACTGCTAGCTTTTAATTAAGCTAGCAGTGTCCTACCTATTAAAACGATAACCGCTACAGCACCAAATAGAAGCATCAATAATTTAGTGCTCATTTAATGCTGTCGATATACGCAAAAACAAATATTGGGAAAATATATTTTTTTTAATATCATAAATTCTGCTACTTTGACATCTTTAGCAGAGTATGTAATGAAAAAATTGACATCCAAGTGGATTATCACCTAATGATATGAGATAATAATTTAGTGCTCAATGAGTGCTGCCGATATACGCGAAAACAAAACTTGGGAAAATATATTTTTTTTATTTCCATAAACTCTGCTACTTTGACATCTTTAGCAGAGTATGTAATGAAAAAAATTACATCAGAGTGGGCTATCACATAATGATATAAGATAATAAATTAGTGCTCATTTAGTGCTGTCGATATACGAAAAAGGATTGTACAAAAAGTAAAAGTCGCTTAAATTACTCCTTATAACATCAGCTATCTGCTAGTAAAGCTGCGTCATAATTGGTCCAGCGATTTCGAAGATTAGCCGGAACAAACTGACAGACAGACAGAGAAAATATTTTTATACATATATTATTACTTATAACAAAAATATTTTTAATTAAATATAAAATATTTTTATAATTAAAAAATATTTCTTGTTATAAGTACCATATATACTTTCATTTGCATTTAGTAAAAAGCCTACCCCTCTGGGTGAGTGTTTATGTTATATGAATGTATAATTATATTTCAATATCGATATATCTGATGACATTTAAATATATACGTGATTCTGTAACTCGGCAAAGAAGTCAGTATTCAGTAATACACTATCTAGTATTATAGATACATACTATATTGTAATATCTATTTATTGTTAATATCTATAATACTCTGAAACGAGTATATCCTACAACACTTGGAGTAGGTATATCTGTTTCATTCAAATTTAATGATCTATCTCGTATTCTTTCGCGCGTTTATTGTTCGTTTACAGACGCGTCCAAGCAGCGCCAACGCCTCGAAACCGATTATAATTTTACGTCGTAGTCATATTAAATCTTTTAATTATTTATCTCACTCGGTACGAGTGCTGGAAAGGTGAGGGAAGGACCATTCCATGAATATCGTTTGATTTACGAATTAAAAAAAAAACTTGACCTTCCGACATGCAGAATAACAATCTCAAACATTTCCCTCACTGGATTATCTAAACTGATGACGTCTAAAGCAACTATGTCCCGCTATGGAATGATAGTCATATATATGGCAACTTTAATTTATTTTTTAGTAATTTTTAGGTAATTCTAACAACGTTGGTTGTTCTGACATTGAAATTAAAACGCTAGTAAATTTTTAGCTATCCAATTATATCCTAACAATGTTATAGTTATAGAAGTGTAAAAAGGATTTGACAACTTCCTGCCTTACTTATAACCGTTGCTTATCGTTTACTGAAATTAGTATTAATTACCTATCTCTTTTTACTGTCATTTAGTGAAGAGAGAGAGAGAGAGAGAGAGAGAGAGAGCAACTTTAAGCGGTTCTTAAATTGACGTAGATTTTTAAAAGTAAGGACTGTCTTCTTCAAATACCAATCGGCATCCAGTTAGGCAACGAAGATAATCATAATATTAAATAAACAATAATATTAAGATCACCCTTAAAAAATCAGAAACGCTTTTCAACTCGCTCGTGTACGCCGCCACGTCACGGCGAAAAATCCAGCCTATCTCGTACAGATGAGTGTCGTAAGAGGCCATTTAGTGGAATGCCTACTTACTATCAGGACCAATTACATGATAACACCAAAGTATGCAAACCAACAGCAGCACTACCCATCTCAATGTAACGCAGGGCAGCCTCTCAGCAACACCACCTTCCTTACCTGCACTAGTAGAATACCCCAACGGGCATAGTAACGACAGTGGGAATCTTAGAATTACACACTGATCTTCTTAGTGGCCTGCACGATACTTTATACTGCTAAAACAAGTGGGAGATTAATATTCTACCTTCATTTGTTCGTATTTGCTTTTATTTTTTACCCTCATTCTCGACACTGTAATGTATAATATCGTATATAGTGTTATCGCATCAGCCTAAAATAATACATGAATATTTTTTGCTGATATGCTCTCGGCTAGTGTCTGTCACAAAACGAGTAGATTCTAAAGACAATTTTAGTATTCAGTTTTTTTTTTTTTCTAAAATTGAAGATGCAAATGCAAATTTTATTCCTTTTGAGTTGAGATTTTCTATAAAGTGCTATATATCTCAATGCGTTACTTTATGTAAGCGATAAAAGGGTATGTAAACATAAAAAAATATTTAAAAATACATCGCAACGTCTGAATGCTTGGCGGTCCACCACTGTGTGTTTTACTAGGAGTTTCCTTCCTCGTACGACCTCTTTGTGGAATCGTTTACCACCGGCGATTTTTCCGGACCGATACGACTTAAGGACCTTCAAGAAAAAAGCTTACTCCTTTCTAAAAGGCCGGCAACGCACCTGCAATTTGTCTGGTGTTGCAGCTGATCATGGGTGGCGGTAGTTACTTACCATCAGGTGAGCCGCATGCTCGTTTGCCCCCTCTTCTATAAAAAAAAAATATGTATATTATTTTGCGAAAGTTATTATGGACACAAATCTTAAAGTTGTAATCGATCCTATGGTAAATTAACATAATTTACCACAAATTTTATCACTTGCTAAATACGACTAAAGTTTTACATGTACATTTTATGCATGTGAATAAAGTCTATAATTGATCAGTAAACGTAAAATGAATTTCATTTAAATGTGATATTATCTGTTACTATTGAATAAAATCATGGTGGTCAGTAATATGTAATTCTGTAATAATGAATGATACAAATTAAGGGCCTCATTATCATAAACGGAGACAGATGTCTGCATCAGGATATTGCTCCCAGATGGTTTCCATTTGGTACTAAATTTGATGCACTGAAATTTCCAGACGCTAGTTCCGCACATGTATAGTATGCGATATTGCAGTTCAGTAATTAAAGAGGTAATTAATTTACATTTCAAATTATAAAATAAATATAAATCATAAAATGTTATTGATTTTTAATCAAAACGCGTTAGATTCGTCGTCTTGAATTCACTTTCTAGATTTTAGTAGTCAGTTTCACTTTCACGGTGTCTGCGCTACGTACGACGATGGCATAGGTACTTTCTTCCCAGTCGCGCCTGAATAATATGATAACTATATAGGATGTGACTTAGAATTTAAATTCTAGAATTAAGGCACTTGTATAAATTTGGATGAAATTAAAATTTGAAAATAAGACAAAGGTAACTAGTTTATGTAACCTACAAATTTAACCACTGTTTGGTTATCGTGACGGCAATATGTCATGGCAGATTAAAATCCAAAATAAGTGAATTTTTTAATCATCAGATTAAAGTATGTTCTTTATCGCAGAGCATATCTCGAAACACGCTGGTCTACATCTTAGGGCGCTAAGTGATGTTTTAAAATCAGTGTATGGAAGCTTCGTGAAAACTATCGTGGTACCAATTGTAATAAACAAAACTGGGGACTCATGTGACAAGTCCATCGACAGGCTGATTTCTCTTGCTATTTATTGTAAAAGTACTTTCCGGTTTGCCCAATTATCAACTTGATAAATTACATAAACCTACCCGATAATGGGTTTGGTTTCAGACCTGCTTATCTACGGTATCAGCCATATTGTGTTTGGAGCAAACTGTCAAATATTATTTGGAACAATGCAAGCCCGTTTGTGCCTGTTTTCTTGATCTATCCAAGGAATTCTATGTGGTAACTTACGATATTCTGCCATGTCAATGTCGAGCGATGATTGTATAACTATGCGAAGCCGTACAGGTGTAGAGTGAGGCAGGGCA